TGCTTACTTGTGTGTATATATATATATACCTTTTCTTATAGTTTAAGTATTTGGTTTATTATAATAGGTTTATAAATTTATATTAAAGTAAGTTTGGCTGTAATGCAAGCAACCTACAGGCCATATCCTGTATGTTAAGCTAAGGCAAAGTTAGCATATCTATATCAAAACCTTTTACTCAAAAAGCAAAGTTCACTTATAGCTTGTTACCTAAATAAATGAGTACCCACGCCTATGTCTATAACCTTTTATCTAAACCAATAAACAATGAAAAATGGCATAGGGGTTTTTCCCCACAAACTTAACAAGTACACCACAAGAGACTGATGTGCCTACATACCTGCCATCAATACGCACATACATACTAGCCTATGGAGTAAGTGTACCTTAACATTTCTGTGGATGAGAAATAAAATTTGGGCATAAGAGGAAGGATGTCCAGCATTTGCCCTATAAAAAAGGTTACCCACCTCAATAAAGTATCTCCATTTCTCTCTCTCTGTTCTCCATTTTTCACTATCTCCATTCTCACTTTACTCTATTCTCATTTACTTCCTCCACTCTATCTATTTACGATAACTGCTACTATTTGTAGGCTATACTTGTTCTTCTTAAACTTTAAGTTTCAAGGGAACTAGGCTAAGCTTGGTTTCCCTAAATTTTATTCTTAGTTTGTTTATTAGGTTTTAATTTAAGTTAGTCAAGTAAAAGTAAACCCTAGTCAGCTTTGATAGCACTTAGCATTTTCTAAGCACTGCATCCCTCACTCAAAAATTAAAAAACCTAAACCCCAAGGCTGGTCCTGTGTCTCTTACCACCAGGTTATCAAAAAAGGGTATAAGTATGTTAACCAAAGCTCTGTTGCATGTAATACTATATTATCATATGTATCTTTTAAATAGCAGTAATGCAATTGTAACTTTGTAACTCTGGGTATTTTACCATTTACTTACTATTATTAATTTTAATAAAAAGTCTTTAAGGCTATATCTGTCTCAGTGTAAGCTTCCTGTCATACCCCCGGGGATCCTTTATAAGTTCTGTGGCGCCTGATTCAGGACAAAAACTTTTATCTTCTAATCAAACAAATTGGCAATCCTAAAACCCATACTAATTAATATTGATAATAATTATTAATATTAATAAATTTAAATAAAATAAAAATAAATTAATAAATTAAATTCCCATATTATCCAAATTATTTTCAGTACACCCTAAATCAGGCTACACCACCTCATATGCCATTCTTGATCATAAATGCTGTAGGTATAGATGGTCAAGAATAACAAATGAACAGAAGGCGCGCCCTCCCCACCCCCCGCTCTCTTGCTTTTTTGTCAAGTGATGCATAGTTGTTCCTTGCTGATCTTTCTTGGAAGTATCAGACATAAAACTTTCATACTTTCATTGAGTGTCAGAGCCTTCATTCTATTTTCGATTATAGCTTCTGTTGTCCCTAGTTCTCCAGTACTTTTTGTCCATTTGCTAAACATCAAGTTGGAGTGTTTTCTCTATGATAAATCATATTTCTCAAGAGGTAACTGACCTTTTCAGACATAATATAGTTCTAGGGTGACCATGTTTCCGAAAGAGAAAATGGGATACCCCCAGCCGTTCTCCCGAAGCCCCTGACTCTCGCAAGGCTGTCGCCCTTTGCTGGAACCCTAAGGGGGCCCCCCCTCAGGAGGCTGCTGCCCTTTGCTGGAACTCTGCCATATGCCCCATGCTGGAATGCTGCCTCCCCCCTGTAGGGGGACTGGCATCTCCACTCCCCTGCCACATGTTCGCTGCACCCCATTTTTTTTTGGCAAAAGTGGGCATGTCCTGTTTGCTCCTGCCAACTGATCAAGTCAGCAAGAGAAAATACCTCCTTTTGAAAAAAAAAGTTGGGATGGCCAGGACAGGACCAGGGCCGCCCAGGAGGGGGGGGCCCAAGTGGGGCAGTTTGCCCCAGGCCCCGCAGGGGCCCCCACGAGAATATAGTATTCTATAGTATTGCAACTTTTTT